CCCAGGATAAGGCTTCAGGCAGAGCCAGCCCTGAGGCCTGGGCTCTGTGATTCTGTGTGATCCTGTGTGATTCCGTGTGATTCCATGTGATTCTGTGCATCGAGGAGGCCCGAGGAGCCTGCGCTGGCACCGGACTCGCATCTGCTCAGATCGATTTCCAGCACAGATAATCCCTCCTCCACAGCGCCGAACGGGCTGGACTCTAATGAGCATTACTTTTTTAAAAAAAATCAGTTTAAGTACGGAATAATTACAAGTATTAAAGAGATTACTGGCTTTGTCAGGCAGGCCTGTAGATGGCTTGTGACAAGGGGCTGTTTACAAACACAGCCTTTAGGCTTATGGCTGCCCTGAAAGAGCCTACGAGAATAAATTGGAGCCGGACAATGCCTCTTAGTTTACCTAATCCAACAGTTTGTCATTACCGCTTCCTGCAGTATTTTCACTAAAGCTTTCTTCAGCGCAGGATTAAACGCTCTGAGCAACTGGAAGAGCATTGCTTCCTCTGGAAAGCCCTCCAGCAGCCAGGCAGTAGCAAAGGATTTTGGAGGATCAGCAGCTACGTAGCCGGAGGTATCCTTTGGGACAAACCCCACATCCACATCTCCTCATTTTTCTCCTCTCATCTCTCCTTCTGGGCAATTTTCTAGGAAGAGAACGGCCAAATGCCCCTTTCCATGGGGACTGCACTGGTACTAATTGAGTTCATCTGAGTTCACCCCAGCTTAAATGGAGCAAACGCTTTGGCTGACATTTGTGGAGGCCACACGCCTCCCGTGGGGGACGCTCATGGCTCTTGCCTGCCCTTCCTGCAGGACAACCCCCCTCTGGGGCTGTGGGAAGGGGCTGCTGGGATCCCCCCAGATACTGACTGCACCTGCCAGCAGCTGGCACTGGGACGAGCTGGGCTGGCTGTTACTAACGGATTCTGTTTAAGGATGAGGAGAGCACGGCCACCCTCCCGCACAGCCACCCGCAGGCAGGGCACTTCACCTCCAGACTGCCAGTCCTCACGGCTAGGAGACACGTTCTGGGAGCTCAGGAGTCATTTTATCTTCCTCCTCAGCCACGGGGGAAGACGACCACCAAAAACGTGTGGAGAAAGGGAAGGTGGGGAGATCTGTTGATCCTTGAGGGGGCTGGGCTGTCCTTGCTGTCTGACCTCCCTTCCCTGGATGGGTGGGAGCAGCGGGGGACAACAGGGATGTCAAGAGCACCTCACGCTGCACATGAGGTCACACGATGGCCACCAGCGCCAAGAGTCCTCATTGCCACCCTTGCCTCGGGCACGCAGGCGGCCGCGGGAGGGGTAATGCAAGGAAGGCATGAGGGGTGAGGACAGCTACGGAGAGAAATCGTCACCGAGGCAAAGCACGTGCTGGCCACGTCAACTGGGTGCAGGGCATCCCGGAGAGCCCACCAAGGAAGGAAAGCAGCCAGCAGTCAGGACAGGAAAGCCACCATTACATTCGCAGCGTTCATAAACTCTTACTGTCAGCCAGTGAGTACCTTAATGAACGTTTCCATATTGCCGTTAAAGAGTTTATGATTATAGACTGAGAGAGGCCTAGGTCTCCTCATTTTCTGTGGCTTAGGGGGAAGACATGGGGGCCTGGGAGAAAATGGAACAAAATAAATCAACAAAAACACCAACATAAACGCAATGGCAGGGTGAAATCTCAAAGGTTAAGAAATAAATTGAACAGAAAATCTCCTCTGTGAGGACTCGACATGCGGCTCCACGCACTCAGGCTTCAGTGTGTCCCCCGCACCCCTCCCCAGTCACGGGGGACCCTCGGGTGCGCAGCTCTCACAGCCGTGCCCTCTGCTCACCCTGAAGCCCCGAAGTCAAGGTCAAGACCACAGCCTTTATTCAAGTAATAAATTCAAATTAATCTTGCCAACAGCAGCATTTAACAGCAATAAGCCAACCCACCCATTACTTTCCATCCCTGTAACCTTCTGGTACTTCCCTACCAGGCAGGCTCTGAGCTCAGCTGCACCGACACACCACCCAACCAGCTGGGCTAGAGGCCTCCTCAGGAGTCCCAGTTCCTCCTGTAACCAACAGCCGTCTCCAGAAATCAGACAGTGACAGAGCAGGAATTGCACCAACAACCATGGCCCCAACAAATGGCAGCTGATGGGGAATGCTCTTCGTGCAGAACTGGCTTCCCTCCCGCCAGAGAGCCCTCGAGCTGCCACACACAGTGGGTCACACCTGCCTGCGGCACCCACCGCCTGCAGAGACACTCTCCCACCCCGAGATGCTAAACATCGAAACTGCCGCTCAGTGGTTTTGCTAGTACCACCGATGACATTTCAGAAGTAAAACAAAGGTGTCAGCGCTCAGCAGGATTTTTAACACCTGCCTCCTACCTCCACCGGTCCAGCTCTCTGCCTGAAAAAGCACCAAGAGCAGCTCAGAGTCCACCTGGTTCCATGACACATCCAAAATAAACCACATCTACCCCTGGAAAACGCTGGCTACTCCTGTTTATTCCTAAGCAGATCTCACCCTGCTCTTAGATGGCCAGAAAGAGGGAGGTGGGAACCTCTCCACCTCCCTGTACCTAACTTCTGTTTGGGAGACATTCGCAGGGACGTGAATCGTCTCCCATCTGTCTGGCAGGCACTCCCAAGATTCGCACCACTAAACAAAAAGGCAGGCAACACAGGAGCAAACCCTCCCCACCTCTGTGAGAACGGAAAGGCAGGCACATGCGTCAGGAGTGGCGTGACCCCCACCAGCCAGGGCCTGAGGGTCCTCATCAGTCTCAGGGAACAGACCCTAAAGACCCTGTTGTCTTCAGCAAAGAGAGACACCTAGTGCTTGCAGAAATGAGCCCACAGAACTGTGTGGCTTAATTTTAGCACAGGGATAGGAATGTGAAGGGCTGATTTCATTAACGCTATTCACATTTTGATTTCTCCTTCTGATTTTGGTTTCTCCTTCTATTCACATTTTGATTTCTCCTTCTATTCACATTTTGATTTCTCCTTCTGTGAAGGACATTAAGACCAAAGTGCCTAGATCTGGAAAAGGGAGAAAAATACCGTGAGACCTCTAAGTGGTTTCTGATTTGTCCTCTGTCCCCAGGCTATGCTGATGTCTGTAGAGGAAAGGTCATGATCACAAACGAAAAATGAGTGCCAGGAGCCTTTACGCCAAAGTTCTCACAGAGCGGAGTCGAACGGACACGTGCAATGTACACAGAGCTACGATGCAAAGGTGACAGTTGATCCACTGGTTCTTTAACCTTTAATTGAGCAAGTTGGCTCTACACTCTAGCTTCTATCCACCAGAAGCGACTGCTGCCCACCGAAGCGCCGTGCTGCGGCCCAGCGCCAGCGCGTTTGCTGCTGCACAATCTCCTCTCCCTCGAGGCCGGGAAGGCTGCCCTGCCCACACTTACAGCCCTGCCTCACACAAGAAGGAGATTGTCTCGTTTGCTTTTCCTTTGTGACGAAAAAGCAACCGCTGAAACAAAAGCAAACAGAAGCAGCGGGGAGCTGTGCCATCATCCCTCATGTAGGAGGCTGTTATTTATTCCTTCGATTGTTTTGGCCTGCAACACCACCGCCCCACGGGCACCCACTCCTGAGAAACAAAGAACTCAACATCAAATCCGCCCGCAACAGTTTTACCTCAGTGTTGGGGCGTGCTTCCCTCGGCCAGCTCAGCCCAGTCCCACCCAGCGCTCCCGCAGGGCAGGAGCTCCCCTCAGGCTGTGTCTGCAGCCCCCAAACACTCCATGGGCACCCGGGGCAGGGAGGGGTACCCGGGAGCACGGCCAAGAGCAGCTCCCTAGAGCAGGGAAGGTCCCTCTTTGTCTTGAGGGTGCCCAGTCCCAGCAGCCAGAAGGTCCCCACTGCCGCAGCACCCGCTGCCAGGACAGCTTCAGCATCTCCAATGGGGAATGTTTTGGGGTTTTTTTTCTGCTGGTATTGCAAATTTTGTTAAATGCTGAAGCACAGTTGTAAAAAATTTGCACAGAGAGAGGTTGTACGTGTTCTGGGGAGATGTCTGGAGGCTTTGCTGGACCACATTTACTGTTAGAAGCCCAGCCCGCTCACAGCAAGCCAGCAGTGCTCTGTGGAGACGCTTTATGGACTGGACACAGATCAAAGCCTCCTGTCCCTTAGATTCGCCCCTAGCAGAGAGGGATGACAGTCTGAGAACACAGGCACGCTCTGCACTCCTACGCAAAGCAGCCAGAGCTGGGAGAGGCTTGTGGGGACATATCAAAGTCCTCAAACGAGCAGGGATGGTAGGGAGCAGGGGACATCCTTGCATTGCGCTGCCTGAACACAACCCAAGCCCAGCCACGTACAAGGCGCCGCGCTGACACAGCACTTCCAGCCCCTTCAGAGCAAGTCAGCTAGAAATCACATGGCAGCAAAACCAAGGGCCTGATTGTCATCACCCTAAGTAAGCCCCTTCAGGCAATGCAGCTGAGAAGCAGGCCAGTCGTGTGGGGACCCGGGACTGGCAGCATAGGTCGATCCGA